TTAAATCGTCATCTTAAAACTAGAGCCTTTTCTCTCATGAAGAAGGTTTATGTCAAGCCATTAATCTCACCCAAAAAAAAAAGCACTTTGTGAAGAATCGAGAGGCATTCTACGTGTTCTTCTTCCTTGTATTAAACAATTAAACGTAGTTTAGATGGTATGCTCCAAGTGCATGGCCAATTAAACGCACCAAGAATAGTCGCCAATAATATAATCATACCATAATCTTTGGGCTTGTATCATTTAGCAAATAATTAATCAGCATTTCAAGAAGTGTGTTAGTCTTAATTCTTAAACCATATATGTACACATATCCATTCCAAAACATGTCTTCATATCCCTTTCAAAATCTTCTTAAACCGAATCACATTTTCTCTCAAAATCATGAATTCCATCCAAAACTACATTTTCTTGTTCTTTTTCCTTTCCACCTTTCAGTTGCCTATCATGTCTAGGCCCACTCCAAGACAAACGTTAAGTTTATGAGGCAATGAGAGAAAAATTATCTGCGTCCTTCTTAAACAATTTCCACCTGCAATTTTTGCGAATGCGTCAATCGGATATCCCTCAGTGAGCTCGTGGCTAAATATCGACACGGGTTCCGACTTAACTTGGGTGCTCTACAATCCCCACTCCGGTTACGATCCGTTACGTTCATCGTCTTTTAGTTACAAAAGCTGTGACGGATTATCCAATTCCCCTATGTGTTCCCGAGTAAGAGAAGGGGGGAATGCAATTTCAGCCAAAGGCTTGCGGACAATGCCATGTATGAAGGTACACTTGGTATTGAAACATTTACATTAGGAACCCGAGATACGGGAATGGGAGAATGAAAAATGTCTTGTTTGGATTTGGGAAAACTACCATGGGGGATCCAGTTGGGGAAGGCACCCTCGGATTAAATTTGGGAGAACTATCCATAGTTAAATCAGTTGGTGAAAATTTTTCTATATGCATAGGAAATTTTAATTATATTAGTCACGGAGGGCATTTTCTCGCCTTAGGAGACAATGCGGTGTTTGTTGGAAAAAAAGTATCATTAGATACAAAGGAGAACCCTGGAATCAATCTGAAT